TCCAAGATCGACCTCAAATCTGGCTACCACCAGATTGAAGTTTATCCGAGCGACCAGCACAAAACTGCGTTCAAGACACGCGACGGGCTGTATGAATTCATCGTTACGCCCTTAGGCCTTACGAACGCACCAGCCACATTTCAGTCCCTCATGGACAAGGTACTTCGCCACCAACTTAACAGGTTTGTGGTTGTGTATCTTGATGACATTCTGATTTTTAGCAAGTCCATGGAGGAGCACGTCAAGCATCTCGAGGAGGTCTTGCAAGTCCTCAAAGATGCTCAACTACACCTCAACTTGGAGAAATCTGAGTTTGGCAGGGACAGCGTCATCTACCTTGGACACCGGTTGTCTGCAAACGGTCTTGAGCCGGAGGCAACCAAGGTTGAGGTCATCCGCAACTAGCCTCAACCGGCGAATGTACGCAAGCTGCGTTCTTTCTTGGCTTGGCTTCTTACTACCGGAAGTTTGTCCCTAAGTTCTCTGTCATTGCTCACCCACTCTCACGCCTGACTAGTAAGAACGTTGCCTATGCGTGGTGTGACAAGTGTGAGACTGCGTTCCAAGCCTTGAAAGAGGTTTTGGTGAGTCATCCTGTGCTCCGCATTGCGGATCCCAACCTCACGTTCGTAGTCACTACGGACGCGAGCCAGTTTGGGATTGGTGCAGTGCTGCAACAAGATGATGGCGATGGCCTGCGTCCGCTTGAATATTACAGCAAACGCATGCCCAGCCACAAGGTAGCCACTTCCACATACACGCGGGAGCTCTACGCCTTGCGCGAGGCGCTCACACATTGGAAGCACTACCTCTTGGGTCGCCACTTCAAGGTCTATTCAGATCATCAGACCTTGCAATGGATTAAAACACAAACTGATCTCTCTCCAACTCTGACCCGCAAGTTGCATGACATTGATGTTTTCAACTTTGAACTAAAACATAAGAAAGGCTGCTATAATCGTGTTGTTGATGCTCTGTCGCGCCATCCCGAGTATTTGACTTGCCTTGTGGACTCGTACGACCTCCGGAGGAAACTGAAGGAGGATCTGGTCGAGCACACTGCCAAGGATTCGGACCTTAGTCCCATCCTTGAGCATCTCAAGGCTGACCCCAACAGTCAGCCTGATTTTCATGAATGCGAGGGTCTTGTATTTCGCCGGTACGGAAAGTTTGACCGTCTGTGTGTACCCAACCATGCGCCTCTCCGAACTCAGTTCTTGGATCTGGCGCACGGTCGGAGTGGACATTTTGGCTTTGAGAACACTTACGGAAGTCTTCTGCAGCAATTTGATTGGCCAGGAATGAAAGGATCTGCTAAGAAATTCATTGCTGAATGTCAAGTATGCCAAAGAATCAAGGTCCACATGCATAAGCCTTATGGCCTACTGAGACCTCTCCCCATTCCTGATGGACCCGGTGAATCGATTTCCATCGATTTCACGGACATGGGAAAGGTGAGTGAGGCTGGGAATTCACAAGTCATGGTCATTGTGGACCACTTCTTCAAATTTCTAAACTTGATTCCTCTCCCTCCTCACGCCCCGACTGAACTTGTAA